GGCAGGATGCGAAGTGAATGTGAGGGTTTGAATATCTTTCACAGAATGGAAGTCTGTCCTTGACTTTCCAGTTTCTTCAGACAAAGTAGCCTCAGCTGTGGGATGTATAAACCCTTGCTCTTTCTCATCACTGATCCCCCGGTTTGGGGGTTCAAGAAAAGTGTTCTTCTTCTAAGCTTCCTTTATGGATTCTCATCAAAATTATTTTGAAATAATCTGACTTTATCTTTCTTTGTCTCATATCTTTTCTCACACATTTTTTTCTCTTTTCCTCTGAGCTTAGGGGGAATTGGGGCTTATCGGGGTGATTGAGTTCTCCTTCCTTGATTCTTCCTATTTGCTTTTTTTCTGCTTCATCTTTACTTCTCTGAGATATCTGAGGGAATCTTCCCAGTCTTCAGAATGGGGTGGCTGCATGTTTGAAGCTTCTGGGGCTACAGCAACAAGATTGACTGTGCAACTCTTCTGTCTAAAACAAGCTGAAAGGAAAGCTTGCTATAAAATGTGCTGACACCTCTGGGTATCTCTATACACCCTGGTTGTGAAGGTCCTTCATGAGTCATAAGAGAAAATAGTATTTTGATTAGCAGGAATCAGATGGTAACCCCAAGACTGAGAGACTCCCACCTACTACCTTGATGTACTGGGGTTGCCCAGACCACCGCCTGACTTCAATACCAAGGTATAAGTCATCCTATGGCATCCCCAGGTGGAAACAACTTCAATATACAAAGTTTCAAGGTAAACCCAAGTGAGAGGTGGAAGCCATTGAGCAGTGGGTCAGGCCAGCCTTTGGTCAACACTGGCCATGAAAATCACCCAGGTAGTTGAGAACAACAAAATTCCTCTTACGTATTCTTACCTCCCCATCCTCCCTAACCTGCCCACCCCTTCATTATGCTGGTGATTAAAACTGAAAATGGAGTCAGCTAAGATTTCCCTTTGCCTAGAGATAGGGAGCACAGTGGGCCCTCTCTGGTGGTGCAACCGGTTAGAGCGCAGCACTATGAAGCTGGCCACAGCTGCCTCAGCACAAGTTTGATCCTTGGCCAAGGAGGTGACCCACATGGTGCGGCAGACCTCTCCTGACCTGCCTGCTGCTCCCCTCAGCAGTGTATTTTATCAGTCTGTCTGTTCTGCTCCCTACTCTGTCTCTGGTGACTCCTCTCAATGCCCCTGCACCTCTGGCCTACACCCCAGTTCTGTATGCATAAAGAAATAAATCTTAAAGGGAGAGAGAGAGAGAGCACTAATTCTGAGACTTCAGAGGGGGCTGGTACTTGGGCAATATCTTTAGATTAGATTTCTTTTTCTAAATCCCTTAACATGTTAAAACCTCCTCACCCTGCCTAAACATAGTTCCCCAGAGTCCTTTATAAGACCTCTCCCTCATACACACATGACATCAGGCCTTTGCCCTCTTATGTACTACCATTCTAGCCTCCATTTCCTATTTTCCCTCTGCCCTCTGTCCCTCTGCCGCTACTGAGGTTTGTTGGCAGTGGTCACCGGCAGCGCTGCTGTCCACAGGCACCTCGTCCTCAAGAATGTCCTGGGCTGTTTACTCCTGAGGCTCTTGGGTAGCTGCCAACCTATACAGCAGGTTCAGCTGGCCTGCATCATTTAGGGGAGACTCTGGTGCTTGTGGCCCCACAATCACTTCCACAGATGAGTCCAGAAGGAGGGGGAGGCTGATTACAGTGAAGAAGGGTGCTCTTTAAACATACGCTCTCTACTAAGTATGTAGAAGAAAGGAAAGGGGAAGCTACTACTGGCCTATGAGTAGTAGCTCTCTTACTGGCTCAGTGAGGGGAGACTATGACCGGCATGTTAAGGAAGGCTACAGTTCCTGAGTTCACAACCAGCTGGAGCAAGTGTGCACAAAGCAGCCCAGGCGTCATCCCAGGGAGAAGGCCACGCATGTCATCACCTTCCACGTGCACACAGAAACAGGCCTTGTGTGGCCAAGTGGAGAGTGGCAGGCATGTAGGTGAAAGGACTTCTGCGATTCCAGCAGCTTCCAAGGGCAACAGCTGGCATTTTACTTAGCTTGGAGAGCAATTAGCTCCATAGAGTTAGAAGACAACATCACACTCTGAATCACATTCTGTAATTTTTTCCCCTCAGTTCTCTTATCCTCAGACTGAGAAGCAAATTCGTAGTTCCGAGTTTACCTGTGAGGTGACTCACAAACACAAACATATACATATGCAAGCAAAGGAACTGATACAGAAATTATTAAGTAAAGATAGTGGTAGAAGTCAAGAGAAGGGAAAGGTATGTCTCCTGAGGGAGTTCTTTAAACAATAGCTAGTTTTGCCTATTCCAATAATGTGGAAAGCAAGCAGATTAATGTTTGCATTTAGTCCTCACAAAACCCAACTCAATGAGTATTATCCAAAGATGTAGAAACTGAGGCCATGTAGCAGGAAATTCAACATGTAAGGGCTTGGAGCCAGTTCAGTTTGTTTTCAAAACCAGGCCCTGCTACTTACTCACTATGTAACTGGACCAGTTACAAATTCTCTAGGTCTCAGTTGTTTTCATCTGAAAGGGGGATGGTGTCTCTCTCATCAGACTGTGAAGATCAAATGAGATATTAGGTTTGCTCCTAGATCTATAAGTAAATGTTCAAAAATTCATTCAGTTCCGTTTACAAAAAAATTAGTGAAGATTTTTTTTTTTAAAGTCCTGATTATCTTTTTTACTTAAATCAATTGGAAGATTTACAAAACTATGATATGGACTGGCCCTTGAAAATGTTGTGGGAGAATTAATGATTTCCAAGCATGAGAATGTACTTTGATTTGGGTACTCTAGTTTACAAGATGACAAATTATCTCTTGATTAAAACAATTTTCCAGACCTTAAGGGGACAAACTCATTGGCTTGATTCTGCTGCTACTTCCTCCCACCCAGCTTTGTGTGTAGGCAGTGGGTAGACGAGAGGAAATTGCAGCGCCTGCCCTTGCCAGCTTGGACAGCCATGGTGAACTTGAAGTGCATGTCCCAGCAGGAAACAGGGTGGCAAGTCCATTCCTTACTCCTGTCCAGGGCTCTAGAGAACAGGATCAGCTCCTGGAGCATGGAGAACTCCCACTTACTTCCGTCCTAGAGTCACATCAGACTAGTCTAGGCAGGAGACAGAGGAGCAACCAGAGCAGTCTGAAGGAGGTAGACACAGATTCTGAAGGGGCAAAGGGCTCCCTATAGAATAGAGTGTGTGCGTGCCTCGGACATGCGTGGGTGTGGACGTGGGACAAACGTACCCAGGACTCACCATAAACCCTCACTGCTGGTCATTAAGGATCAACAAGATATCCTCCGATAAATGTATTAGAAGGAAAAGTTTCTCAGTGTAAATTCATACTGTTTTCCCTGAGACATCCTATGGGGCTGGAGAAAGGAATATGAACAAAATTGGGATGGGAAGAACACATGGGACTATGATGATGGCACATGGGGTGAATTGGTGGTGGGAAGTCCATGGGGATGACAACCAATGTGAAAAAATATACAATATATATACATATATACATAATTTTTTTTTAATTTACACCATTTTCAAAATCCCTTTCTATGCTGGTGCTTCCTGTTCAAATGTTTAGGCTAGTGGCCTGGTGCTACCTCTTTAAAGTTAGGCCCTAAGCTCATATGAAACAAGCCTAGATGCTAGAGGGGGCAGTGGACTATGGTAGAAGATTATCAGAGGTTTGGTGGTAGTGGCATGATAAGGCACTTTGGAGAGGTGTGAATATATACCTCTAAAACAGGCACAGTATTGTAAATCGGTGTTATGGCAGTAAATATACTGAAGAAATGAAACAAACTTAGAAAAAGCCAACTCTGAGCCTTGGACTGAAAAAAAGTCAAAATATTCTACCCCACCCAATTGCCCCGCGAAGGAGGCATGTTCTCCTGAGATGTTAAGCTAAATGGGTCAGGAGAAGAGAGTCAGCTCCTGAGCTTGGGGTATCTGGAGAGTAAGAATGGTCACAGACTAGGGGGGCAAGATACCCACTACAGACGATCCCCAGGGAATCTATTGTGAATCACCAAGGAATCTACTTCCTTCCATTGTGTACCCACCTCCGTGTCTCCAGATTCCAGCACCGTGGGTTAGCTCGAGGCCATACATCCTGAATGGGCCACCCAGGTGGTGGGGCACACACCCCTCTCGGTCTAGGGTGTGCTTCCTGCTCTTGGGCTCAGCTGTCTGGGGTGGGATGGGGTGGGCTAGGGTAGTGGTGAAGGTGTCTAACCAGGGGCTGGATAGACAGACATCCCTCTTCACTATCAGCCAAGGCCAGACCTAAGAAGACAGATCTTAACAACGCCGCTGGCTGGCAGGGCACGTGGGTGGCTGTGCTCGGACCGCAGTCTTCCCTAGAATCCAGTGCCCTTCACTGGGATGGGGCAGGTGGGAAGCCCGATTTAACAAATTCTTCACTTGACTCTGGGGAGCGCTTTCCTTAAAAGAAGTCTAGACCGGAGGTCCGAGAAGCGCGCAGGTCTCCTTCCGGGCAGCGTGCCCTTTCCCTAGCCCGGGACAAGCTCCTGCCGCGAGGTGGGAGCAGGTGACCCGCGCGCTGGCGGCTCCGCTCCGCCGCCTAGAGCCTGGAAGCCGCCACTGCGCGGGGCCGCCCGGGTTCCGTGGCGGGCCCGACCCTGCGCTCGGGGGCCTGCGGCGGCACTGCCCTGCGCGTCTGAGGGTGGTGTCTGAAGTCAGCCGCTTCCTGCCTTTCCTCGGCCTGGGTGCCGGCTGGGACGACTGACTCGGAGAATCCCTGATCGCCCCGCCCCGCCGCCCGCGCCCTCCTGGTGGCGCGGCGTCCCCGCCCCTCGCCCCGAACCCCCACCCCTGTGCCCTGAGGGGGCACCCCCGCCGGGGCGGGAGGGTGGTCCTCCATGCCCCGGTCGCCGAGTGGCGCAGAGGTGACAGTAACCGCCTTCCCATTTCCGCCCGGCCGGCAGCGCGGCGGGGTGCGCACCAGCACTGAGGCGCTCGGTCCTCCCTCCGCCCGCCCGCGCCGGGGGCTGGCCCTGCCTCGCCGGCGCCTTTTTCCCCCGCACCGCGGCGCCGCTTCGCCACTCGGGCACCGCAGGTAGGCAGGAGGCTGGAGCGCCTGCTGCCCGCCGCCCGTAAAATGGTCACCTCGGCTGGACAACTCGCCCTCTTCGCGCTGGGTAAGTACACTGCCTGCTGCACACTGTGCACCCCTGCCCTGCGCGACACCCCGCTTCCCCCTGTCCTCTCCATTTCTCTTTCCCGGGGGTTTCCTGTGCTTGCCTAAGAAAGTGGAGGGAGGCTGATGCTTTCCAGGGTTGAAGGCTGGGAGGCAAGGGGAGTCTCCAGGGGTTACCAGAGATCTGGGGCGCCCTCTCTGAAGCGAGGACCGTCGAACAGCCAGGCTTTCCCCGGAAAGTGGCCGCCTCGGCTGTGCGTGAGAACGTTTGCCTGGGAAGGGCAAGCGGTGTGTGAACGCGCTTGAACTTTAATCTGCCGCGGCCGGGTGTTCGTACACAAGTCCACACCTACCTGCTTACCTGGCTGTCGCCAAGCCTGTCTTCGCCGACGGAGGTAGTGTGTGGACTCCGAGAGGGTGACCGCGTTCTTCCCTCCAAAAGACCGTGCCTGCTTATTCGTCCTCCCTACCTGAGTCCCAGCGATGGGCAATTGTTCACGTTCAGCAGAGTCGCCCTCGATCTTGAACTTTAAGAGCTTTTGAGCTTTGGGGTAGGTTTTGGATTTTTGTGAGGATTAATTGTTCCTTCAATTAACTTCCCTGAGAGAAATGGTGTAAGTGTCAGCGGAGGGCAGGAGAGAAACCCTAGACCGAGCGTTGCCAGTTTCCTTAAGAGTTTGCTCTTGGAAGGCAACCAGGAATGGGGGAAGGGAGGGGAAGTTAAACCCCGCAAACTCGGGGGCGCTCTGCGGACGTGAGTTTTTCAGCGGGCGAAGTTCGCAGGACCGTGATGAGAGAGAGGCACAGCGCGGAGCGCGGCCAGGCCGCTCCTGCCCCTCGCTGTGCGGAGTAGCTGCAGCGTTCAGATGGCCAATTAACAGCCCGGGTATTCTGATTATCGCTGCAGCTTGTCAGAATGAATTGTACGGTATGTCCTGTGAATTTAACCTCGTAAAGCGAGTTGCTCGCAACAGCTACACGAACATCTATTAGAGTTTGAGGAACGTTATGGAACCCTTTCTCCCCCAAATGCTCTAAGCCGCATTGGCACCCAGTTCCATATACAGTTTCAGGGGGTTCATGGACCCTCCTGTAATCCAGCCTATGAAACGATGAGGGGCGAAAGGGGAGGCATCATCATCTAAGGAAAACGCAGAGCAGTGGTTGAACCCGTTGCAGCCATCGGACCCTCACCTGAAACGTACCAACAGGTGGCATGATTGTGAATGAGTTTCTTATATGGATGATTGTTCTGATATTTGATTTTTTTAAAACCAATAAAACATCACCACTGAGGCAGAATCTTACAGTATGCATTCCCTGTTGTAATGTTGATTTTTGCAATTACTAATTGTAACCTTAATAGCCAACACTATTTGAGCACTTACCTGTGCCAGACTCTGCATTTAATGCTCCCTATGTAGTAACTCATTTAGTTGTTGCACTAACCTGGTGAAAGAAGGTATTATATCCATTTTATAGGGAACAAGATCAAGGTATATAGGGATCATAGTGAGTAGTTGGACCAGGATTACTAAGGAGTATAGAAGGCATTTGGATATTAAAAGTCTCCTAATTGTTCTATAGTCCCATCTCTCAGGTTTGAGATATTTCCTTCAAGTGAGATTGTGTGGAATACCCTGCAACTTGCTGTTAACTTGGGCTTTCTGTTGGACTTTTAGGTTCTCACAGTGCTCTTAGGTTATTTAGTGAAAACTAGAGGTGGGAAATAACGATTATTGGCACATTTGTGGAAGACTTGGAAAGTTGTATGCTCTTCCCCCAGCATAGTACAATGTCCATGAAGGCCGCACTCACTCATTGGGTAGTTTTTCTCTTTTGCTTAAGAGAAGACTACTATTGAGACCTAAACCTTTAACTTGATCCTTATTTCCTTCCCTCAGGGGAAAAAAAAATGTATAACCTTAACAAGATTCATCAGTATGTAAAAGCTGCTTCATACTATTCCAAAATAAGAGCAGTTGGAAAAAGTAGAGGAAAATAGAAGGGGTCATTTATACCATTGAGGACTCCTTTTTACTTATATTTCCTTTTTTTTTTTTAAGATTTTTATTTTCTTATGAGTTCAGAACTGAGGTACAGGCCAGAGGTGTGGTGAGTGAGAGGATTCACCAGATACAGAGTGGGGAGCAGAACAGACAGACTGATAAAATACACTGCTGAGGGGAGCAGAGGGTGAATCAGGAGAGGTCTGCCAGCGCCATGGGGGTCAGGGGGATTTAACTGGTGCTGCAGCAACTTCAGAGAGCTTTATAATGCAGTGCTTTAACCCCTTGTGCCACCAGAGAGGGCCCTATATTTCCTTTTTTTAAGCCATTAGTTCTCTGCATTTATTAGAACTTCTGCCTCCCGCCCCACTTTCTGTTAAATGGCTATAAAGACTCATTAGTGCCATATGTATCTTTAATTTGCATCTTTAATTTGCACGTATCCTCCAGAGCTGCCTTCCTCTCTGTTTTCTTAAATGAGTTGAAAGCAGTTCCAGGCAAATCAGCTAGTGTTCCATCACTAACCAAGATCTAGAAAACCTGGATCTCTTCCCCACATTCCTGGGGACAGTCAGAGAAGGAGCCCGTTGTTAGGAGTCTCAGTAGGTACTACCGATTACGTGGAACCTGCGTGCTGATTGATGTTTTGGCACAGAGCATGTGGAGAGTATTGCTTAATTGGCAACATTGGGAAAGAAACCCAGGTTCTTGCGGTGGCTGCCCCCACCCCCACCATGTCATATTTTCATGGCTGACAGGTCAAACCTCACAGGGGCTTGGCACCTTCCATCCCACAGCCTCCTTGGTGGCCAAGGAGCCAGATGTGTGTAATCTTGGGCAAGTTACTGACCTTTTCTGTGCCTTGTTGTTCTCATCTGTAAAATGGTGATATTAAAAGGGTTGTTGAAGATATTTCATGAATGTAAAAGGTGATAAGAGCTTAGTTAATTTTAGTGCCATTACCATCATCATTACTTTTGAACTCCATAGATTTCCAGTTATCATTGCAAGCCGTGTTGATTCTTTAACTGGGACTTTTCATCTTCATTGTCTCATGTCCTAACTCCTCACCCTTCCTAAACCATAAAAATTCTACCCAACCTAACAACCTACCTAATGATTTAGTGACAAATTGGGGTTATTTGTGGAGACCACAGATTCTTTAATTTTGTTGCAAAATATTTGTATTTCCTCTTTAACATTTAGTGATCAATTGTTTATTGAAATCAGCACTACGTTTCAGTTTCCTCATCTATAAAATGGGACCAATCAAGCTCTATCCACCTCACAGGTTGTTGTCAGGATCAAATGTGGTGAACAATTTGGAAACTTTTATAAATTATAAAAATGAATGGTTGCGCACAAAATAAAATTAATTTTATGATACAGAAATAGTACAAAACCGAATCCAGAAGTAAATACTTTTCTTTCTATGCACAACTCTCAGAATTAAGGCTGGATGTAGACCTAGGACACAAATTGTCTTTAACCACCCCTATCCTTAGATAGGCATTTACTTATTTCTTTCATCTAATTCTTTAATGGTCTTATATAGTGTGTACTATTATATATGTTGTGTATATATATTATATTATTGTGCATACATACACACATACTACATACTGGATGTAGATGGGTAGCAATGAAACAGGGCAGCTTCCTAGTGGACCAGGGACTGAGGAACCAGTGGGAGCCACACAGAGAGTCGTCCATCAGAGTGACATTGGAGCTCTGCCCGGGACATATTCCCCTTACTGGACCCCCATAATCAAGGGCTGTTCACTTGGACCACAGACTCTAGAGGTGTACATATATGGAAGCTAAATTTCCCTTACTTGCTTTTCTAAAATCTGATTTGCTCACTTACCTTTCTGTAAATACCCATTGTCCCCTGCAAAGAAGACCTTTCTTATAAGAGTAAAGGATGTTTCGTGTTACTTAGGTAAAGTATGAAGAATAGCTGACTTTTCCACTGGCACTATCTCCAGGGCCTTTGGAAAGTGTTTTGGACAAGGTCCTCCTCTTCAGGCTGTCCACTATAAGTCAGAACGGCAAAGGGAAGTGGAGTTTGGATCCACCAAAGTGGGAACAGTCTGACACACTGAATTGGGCATCTAGGGCTTGGTTTCACACTCATGCCCTATGTAGTATCTGCCATAGCAGTGCCCTCAAAGTAGAACCGCCTGGAGGGCCTGGTAAACCAGATTGCCCAGCAGGAGTGGGAGAGTTTGCATGTCTGACAAGGTTCCCAGGTGTGGCTCCTGCCACTGGTGGAGAAGCGAGGGGAGGGACACCTTGAGAACACTGCTCTGTAATCATTGCTGTTAGGGAAACATCTGGCTCAACCATTTGCATTTTATCTACAGTACATCCTGATGTTTATAAACGCCGCTATGGGTTTATGAACCATTATTAAAGGAACTTCTGTGGCCAGTCTTGCTGACCTGGGCAGGGGTAGAATGCTGAGATTTCCTGTCACAAATATTCCTGGACATTACCTTTGGAGGATGCAAGGACCCCAGTTACTAAACTTGCACTGAATAATGCCAGGTTTTGTCATGCTTTCTTTTGTTGCAGCATCAAATATGGACTATTGTTTTGATGCTATTTAAAAAAAAAATTTTTTTTAAGATTTATTTATTTGCATACAGAGCTGGGGTACAGGCCAGAGGTGCAGGGGCGGTAAGAGGATTCACCAGAGACAGAGTAGGGAGCAGAACAGGGTGACTGATGAAGCACACTGCTGAGGGGAGCAGCGGGCAGGTCAGGAGAGGTCTGCCAGGCCATGTGGTCACCTCCGGTGCAGGTGGGGATCGAACTCATGCGGAAGCTTCCCAGTGCTGCGCTTTAACCCGCTGCTCCACCAGGGAGGGCCACTAATTCAAATATTTTTAATCAATTTTAAGGTATCAACTACATGAGGCTTTAGCACAGAATGAACATTCCTTCTAGAAAAAGGATTGGGGTGCTTTCATAGTGACTTTTGATTTTG